TCGGAAGCCAGTAAAAGGAAAACGGAAGAGCGAGTCGTTAACGTGTGTACTGCAATTTGCAATGTGACAGATGCCGGTGATGTACCAGTTGCTATGGGTATTATCCCAGTATGGTTGTACCACAAGGACAATCCAAACAATAAGATATGTGTTTACGCCCTCCTTGATAATGCCAGTGGTGGAACATTCATTAAGGAAGACTCGTTAAGAAGGCTTGGTGTTAAAGGAAGTTGAAACCAAACTTTTGCTCACTACTATGCATGGTACCCAAGAAGTCGATACTAAAGCGGTAGATGGGCTAATGGCTTCCCACTTTCAAGAAAACGACGTTATCGTACCCCTACCGAGAACCTACGTCAGACAACGGATTCCAGCAGATCGTGATGAGATTCCTCGTCCCGAAGAGCTGCAAGGATGGTCACATTTGCAGATGGTTAGGAAACACGTACCTCCTTACATGGAAGACGTAGAAATAGGACTCCTGATCGGACTAAATTGCCCTAGTGCAGTGCGACCAAGAGACATTGTTTGCGGGAATGAGAATGAACCCTATGCAGTAAGATCACTACTAGGATGGCACGTAAACGGTCCTGTTAACCAAAAAGAGCAGTAAACAAGTACATTGTAACCGTATTCAGATTCTTAAGAGCAACACAGAGGATAACGTGAATGGGTACATCATTGCTAAGACAGAGATTAAGGAGCGGCTAACCCCTCAAGTGGTTTCCCGAATGTTTGAGGTGGACTTTGCTGAAAGGGAGCACGGAGTCGCATTATCAAGAGAAGACCGTCAGTTCCTGAAGATTGTAGAAGATGGAATCCATCATAGAGATGACATGCATTACGAGATGCCTCTGCCCTTTAGAGAAAAGAATGTACAGCTACCCAATAACCGTCCTCAAGCAGAGCAACGCCTGCACGGCCTTAAGAAGAGACTCCAAGGCGACGCAAGGTATCGTGCTGACTACGTCAGATTCATGACTGAAATCATAGAGAAGGGATATGCTCGAAAGGTCAAGGTTGAAGAGCTACCCCATCAAGAAGAAAAGGCCTGGTACTTACCTCACCACGGGGTTTACCACCCCAAAAAACCAGGCAGCATACGCGTAGTATTTGACTGTTCAGCTCGTTACCAGGGTGAATCGCTGAATGGCCACCTATTGCAAGGGCCCGATCTAACAAACAAGCTCACTGGGGTGCTCACAAGATTCAGAGAGGAGAAGGTAGCCTTCATGGCTGACATAGAGAAAATGTTTTTTCAAGTCAAGGTTCCAAGGGAAGATCAGAACTTCCTTCGCTTCTTATGGTGGCCAAATGGAGATTTAACTCAAGAGCCTCAAGAGTACTGCATGACAGTGCACCTCTTTGGAGCTGGTTCATCTCCAGGGTGTTCTAACTTCGCCTTGAAACGTACAGCCGAAGACGGTGAAAGGGAGTTTGGTGCAAAGGCTGCCGAAACATTAAGGAAGAACTTTTACGTCGATGATGCTCTGAGTTCGGTACCGACAGAGAAGGACGCTGTAGAACTAGTACAAGCTGTTAAAGAGATGTGTGCAAAGGGAGGGTTCAAACTAACGAAATTTGTCAGCAACAGTAGAAAGGTGATGATGTCAGTACCTGCTGAAGACAGAGCTAAGGAGATCAAGGGCCTAGACCTAGGTAGTGACAAGTTACCAATAGAGAGAGCTTTGGGTGTAGAATGGTGCATTGAATCGAACGCATTCAAATTCAGAATAGAGTTGAAGGACAAGCCGTGCACCCGTAGGGGTATACTGGCAACTATAAGCTCGATCTTTGATCCTCTAGGGCTGATTGCGCCCGTCGTCCTTGTTGGAAAGCAGATACTTCAAGAGATCTGTCACAGAAAAGACTGGGACGAGTCAATCGAGGGAGAAGTTCTTGCCAAATGGGGAAGATGGAGAAGTCAGTTACCGCTATCAGAGCAGCTGAACATCCCAAGAAACTTTCAGCCTCCTGATTTTGGAAGCATTGCCACTGCTCAGCTACATAATATGTCAGATGCGTCTCAAGTCGGGTACGGACAATGTTCTTATCTCAGACTGGTTGATGAAAACGGAAGAATTCATTGTTCCCTTGTTATGGGGAAAGCTCGTGTTGCACCGTTGAAGACAGTCACTATTCCAAGACTTGAACTAACTGCCGCTACCGTTTCAGTAAGGGTTGCAAGCATGCTAAAGGAAGAGTTAGACTATGGCGGACTCCAAGACTTCTACTGGACCGATAGTAAGGTTGTCCTCGGGTTCATCAACAATGAATCTCGAAGATTCCAAGTGTATGTTGCAAATAGAGTGCAATTCATCCGTGACCACACTTCACCAGACCAGTGGCGCTACGTGGAGTCTGGATCCAACCCAGCAGATGAAGCATCGAGGGGATGAACGCTAAGGAGTTTATGCAAAGGTCACAGTGGATTAAGGGCCCAGACTTCTTGTGGCAGACGGAAGATCACTGGCCTCAACAAGACTCATACGAAAAAGAGGTCGACCACAATTCTCCTGACGTTAAAGGGGTTACCGCTAACGCGACAGTGATTGAAGAACATGAAAACATGTTAAGCAGATTCAAAGGATTCTCCAAGTGGCAAGTCCTAAAGGGCGCAGTTGCGCTTTGTATGGAATACAAACGACGTCTCAAGATGAGAGCCAGTAAAACAGACAAGAGACCTGTAACTGTTGACGGTCCTCAAGTTAATGGACGAAGCCGTGAATGTGAAGGTTGCCCGGCTACTTCCTTTATGGTCAGAGACCTTGAACAAGCAGAAACAGAAATTCTCAAGCTGGTGCAAGCGAATTACTTCGATAAAGAAATCAAGATTCTGAGAGATTTCCAAACCCAGACCGGAAGTGTGCCTAAAGATCGTCATCATGATAAGGAAAGGAAAGCAGTTTTGAAGAAGAGTAGCAGCCTTAACGCCCTCGACCCATACCTGGATGCCAGCGGAATGTTGAGAGTCGGAGGACGGATAAGGAAGGCTAACCTCTCAGACAGTCTTAAGAACCCTGTCATCTTACCGAAGGCTGGTCATATTACAGAGCTGGTCCTCCGTCACGCCCATGAGAAAACTCACCACAGCGGAAGAGGTCTCACCTTAAACGAACTTCGTTCGAGTGGTTACTGGATTATCAATGGAAATGCTGCGGTCAGACACTTCATATCAAAGTGCGTCACGTGTCGACATCTCCGTGGTACCTTTGGAGAACAGAAAATGGCCAACCTCCCGAGTTCCCGTGTTGAACCCGCGCCACAGTTTTCATACTGTGCAGTGGACTACTTTGGTCCGTGGTATGTCAAAGAAGACAGGAAAGAAGTTAAAAGGTACGGAGCCCTATTTACTTGCTTGGCCAGTCGTGCGGTACATATCGAAGTAGCCCACCCATGGAAACAGATTCATTCTTACAAGCATTACGGCGCTTTACCTGTCGTAGAGGACCCATAAGAGAACTTCGCAGTGACCAAGGGACTAATTTTGTTGGGGCCGAAAACGAGTTAAAGGCAGCACTTCAAGAAATGGATGATGAGGAAATCAAGGCAGAGTTGCTTAAGGAGAACATTGATTGGATCAGAAATCCTGCTACTGCAAGTAATTTCGGAGGCGTTTGGGAACGACAAATTCGGTCCGTGCGGAACATCATGGCAGCACTTATGAAACAGCATGGTCACAGCTTAAACGACGAATCGTTGCGAACTTTGTTATGTGAAGCTGAAGCTGTTGTCAACAGTCGTCCTCTGACTACCGAGACCTTAAGTGATCCGCTCTCACCGTTGCCACTATCGCCAAGTACCCTTCTCACTGGTAAAACCAAGCTCATTCTCCCCCCTCCAGGAAAGTTTCAACGAGAAGATACTTACTGCAAACGTCGCTGGAGGCGCGTACAGCATATTGCTAACGAATTCTGGAATAGATGGAGTAAAGAATATCTTCAGATCTTACAGTTCAGACAAAAGTGGACACACAAGAGAAGAAACTTCACGGAAGGCGACATTGTTCTATTAAAGGACAACAATTCTTGTAGGAATAAGTGGCTTATGGCTAAAGTGCTTACCACACGTCGTGATGATGAAGACCAAGTCAGATCGGTGACTGTTCAAACCGGAACTGGATCAGTATTGGATCGACCAGTCAATAAACTTGTGCTGTTGCTAGAGTCACCGAAGGGTAGACCGGGAATCCCCGACGAGGAGCCTGAGGAACTGTAATGGCACAGAAACAGGATATCTAGAACGCTTAGCAATTCTAGTATTCTAAACGAGTTAGAGTAAGATTTGTTTGGTTAAAATGACGAGCATTTTAGGGGAGCCATGTAAATGCTAGGTGTCCTGTGCACTAGGCCCAGTCTGCGCCGAGGTGTTGTCATTCGACACTAGGTCAAACCTCGGCATATACGTGCTTTTATCGCTTGTTATTTTCGCCTTTATTTCTCGGATAAGGATCGTTTAACTAGTCTCGCATCGAAGGAATAGAACATTACGGAAGCATTACGGATATTTCAGCAGTTTTCAAGGTTACGGATAGAGACAATTGCTTGTTTGTAAGGATTTCTTGTACGGTATTGTATTCGAACGGTGTGCTGAGCGTAGTTGATCGGATCGAATAAAACGTGGAATTGACATCGAATTGACGGCTATTACAATCAAAGCAGACAATGTGATAGCCGAACCCACAAGGTTTGTGCTTTGACATCTATTTGTGAGGCTATCAAAACTCCTTGGCACTGAGGTAGAAGGAGAGGTAAGCATAAACCACAGAGGGTACTCTTATTGAGCGGTTGATTCTTGAATTTGGTCACAATACTCTTATCTGGCATCTCGGTCCTGATTGCCTTATTTCTTGAGCAATACGTTTCGTGGAGTGCAAGCTTTTTTGGCTTTGGAAGTAATTCAGACACCTGAGGGAATATTCTTTCGCTTTCTTATCCCAAGAGGTTTGACTTGACAGTGGCTATCTCATGCTGTTTAACAGGCGGTTGTGCTTCTTATTGTCATCTGCTGTAAGAAGGTTTAGGACGTGCTTCCTGTTCTTCTGCCGTTCTGCGGCTTGCCCCTTTTGAGGCCTGACCAAAGACTTGAGACGTCTGCCTGTTAACCTTTGATGAATCTCCATTTTTGTTCCTTACTCCAACTGATTTCATCTCCAAATTCACGGATTTGTTCACTCTGTGCTTCAAATCAGAACTTTCCTTCTTAAGGCTGTAGTGATGCCCAAGCGTACTCTGAGTGTCAAGAAGATTTGAGGGTATGAGCGAAGTGCCTGATGAGAGTGAAAAATGAAGCCTATTTTTAGCCTCATAAATCACGAGCTTGATTCACCCTTGGAAATGTCTGGCTTTCTGATGGCATCCTTAACCAATAAGAGAAGTCACGTTGGGCTTCCTTCGCGCTTCCTAATGAACCCAAGATTGATGATCTGACATTGACATGTGAACCAAGAATGCAATAGATGAATGCCTCAATGGACTGATTCAGCCTGTCATCTCAGCTTGCATCAAACCTTGTCTGCCATAGAAAAGTCAACTTTTGCATTGTCATTCCATATGAAATAAATCAGATTGCCTTAGATGGTTTTTCTACCCTCATCGCTGAACTTATTATTACCAGGATATTAGAATGAAGTTGCTGACTGAGGAACATCTGTCACATCAATGAAAACAGATCCAAGACTGTGATTATCACCTCCTTTGAAGCGGAAGTCTGTGCCTGATGAAATTCCAAATTCCGCACATCTTTGTTTGAATGATGGCTTGTCATGATTATTATTTTTAAAACTGCTGAAAATTGGGTCACCAGGAAGAAACGATCTACTCTGAAATCAATCCATTCTAAAAAATAACCCTTCTGACTGTGAAGTAGACGTAAATCATAAGAAATGACTTCGTCTGTTCTTGAACCTTATCAAGAACTTCACGAGATATTCCACAGCCTGTTGTTGCACACCATACTGTGAAGTTGAGCTGTTGAGGCGCGTAGCTTATATGTTCGGCCCAGCAAGCCATCTCTTTGATTCTGTGCCTGAAGAATGCTGAATTTTCGATCTTGTCAATATTCCTCTAAATTGTGCATTGAAGTATTGACTCAGAGTAACAAAGATCTTAATCTTCTCATTGAAGTGGCTGACAGTATTCTTGTTAAATGGAACTGCTATCGCCCCCTTCTTTCCTATTCGATTCAGAGTGAGTTCAAAAGGAAAACCTCCAATTCCAAGTACCTTCTCCCTAGAATCGTCAAAAGCATAATATTCACAAAAGTCACGAGCGAGACATTGTGAGTATATCAAGTGAAGCGTCTTAAGTAAAGGAACTGAAATAAGGAAAACATCTCAGGTAAGTGAAACACCTCAACTAGAGAAAAGATCGATCGAGTAAGACGGGTAGCGATTCGATCCAGGGTGAATTCAAAAGGAAAACTTCCAATTCCAAGTGCCTCCTCCTAGAGAATCGTGAAGGGCATAATATTCACACCTTCAAAAGTCACGAGCGAGACATTGTTAGTATATCAAGTAAAGCATCGTAATTAAAGGAACTGAAAGGAGGAAAGCATCTCAAGTAAGTAAAACACCTCAACTAGAGAAAAGATCGATTGAGTAAGGCGTGTATTGGTTCGATTCAGAGTGAGTTCAAAAGGAAAGCCTCTAATTCTTAGTGCCTTCTTCAAGAGAATCGTCAAGAGCATAATATTCACAAAAAAGCATCTTAAGTAAAGGAACTGAAATAAGGAAAGCATCTCAAGTAAGTATAACACCTCAACTAGAAAAAAAATCAATCGAGTGAGGCGGGTAGCGAGAAAAGTAAAGCACTTCATGTAAGGAAAGCATGTGAAGCAAGCAGATCACCTAAAGTCAGTAAAGCACTGGAGGGAAGTAAAGTATCTCAAATGGTTAAAGTACATCAAATAACAGAAGAATCTAGATTAAGTAAAGCTTCTAGAACAAAAAAGCATCTCAAATAAGTAAAGCTTTTTAACCTTTTACCTCCTACAAGTAACTAGCATCTAGTTTCTTCTTACAATACTACTCCTGAATCACACACAAAGGTCACGAGAATAAAGGAAATGAAGACCAACTTAAGAGGCTCTTGATTGTTAAAAAAATTTTCCTTGTCAGCACATACTTGTATAGAGAACAGTATGGAGAATGTACATTCTGATGTTAGGCTG